GGGGTGGGGGGGGGGGGGGGGGGGGGGGGGGGGGGGGGGGGGGGGGGGGGGGGGGGGGGGGGGGGGGGGGGGGGGGGGGGGGGGGGGGGGGGGGGGGGGGGGGGGGGGGGGGGGGGGGGGGGGGGGGGGGGGGGGGGGTGGGGGGGGGGGGGGGGGGGGGGGGGGGGGGGGGGGGGGGGGGGGGGGGGGGGGGGGTGGGTGGGGGGGGGGGGGGGGGGGGGGGGGGGTGGGGGGGGGGGGGGGGGGGGGGGGGGGGGGGGGGGGGGGGGGGGGGGGGGGGGGGGGGGGGGGTGTTGGGGGGGGGGGGGGGGGGGGGGGGGGGGGGGGGGGGGGGGGGGGGGGGGGGGGGGGGGGGGTGGGGGGGGGTTTGGGGGGGGGGGGGGTGGGGGGGGGGGGGGGGGGGGGGGGGGGGGGGGGGGGGGGGGGGGGGGGGGGGGGGGGGGGGGGGGTGGGGATGTGTGGGGGATGGGGGGGGGTGTGTGGGGGGGTTGGGGGGGGTGGGGGGGGTTGGGGGGGGGGGTGGGGGGGTGTGGATGACTGATGATGATGATGTTTAAATAATCTTCAGGGATTAACTGAAGACAAAAATCAAGCAAATATTGAACTTTTAAGCCAAGAAGACAGTTATAGCTCATTTAACGTGAAAGCTACAAGCTTACTGAACAGCTATGGGGAAAATTCCAGGAAAGAGGGAGAGAATAGCCATCTATCACGAATTAATATCGCCTCAGATTTATATTTTTAACTCATTGACAATAATAATTAACGATGCCAAATTATCTAGGAAAATACTGAAGTATCATGTTGAGGACAAGATAGGAAATGTTCCAAATTAACCCGACAGCCATCAATGTAGAGTATAAAAAAAAAGTTGAATGGAAGCGACCAATGAGTAAACAGAGAGGCTAACCCTAGAGTAGTAAAGAGGAGGCAATGCCAACTACTGTTCCTTCCCTCCCTCCAGGTCTAATCAGAAATGGCCTCGTTATACGTTGTGGAAAAGATGAAAAAAGAGGACCACCAGCTTTTTGACGGGGCAAAGAGCTCCTGCCACACCCTTAGTCCCTCACCCAGCCCATCCTTTTAAGATATGTTCGGGCATGACATATTGCCATATCCAAGCATATTAGAAATATCTATTCAGTCATACCACTACCTATGTGCAAGTTTTACGGTGTGCATTATGGATGTGATGACACGAATGTGTGTAATTATATGCACTCAAATACTCGATGCATGTACGGTATGTAATTATAATATAGGCGAGCCCACTGCTATGATGCACTCTTTTAAATTATAAAAAAATAAGAAAAAAAATATCGTGAAGCCAGTGCCATTATATATCTACAAATGTAAATATGTAGTTAGATAAGTCATCCAAATTTTTCTTTCACTCCCCCGTCTTTCCTCTGTTTACTGGTAGATAGATAAATTATGACATCCAAATTCCTCTTTCCCCCATCCTCTGCTTCCCTTCCATACGGTAATTTCTCCTTTCCCCCCTCACTGAGGTAGAGCTAGATATCTTCATAATAAATTCTACATTTGTTGTGCATGGGATAGGCTATCCTGAAATACTGCAATTCCCAAGTGATACTAACTCCAGCTATGCTGGAACGAAACCTATGAAGCTACCGTAGCTGATGAACGCTTAATGAAATGCTTGACGATATTCACATTGCCCTACTGAGTCTTCCAGCTCAGACTAACAGATTTCAACACTTTATGAGCCCCATCCTGTGTAATGGAATATGGCAGGGAAACATACTTAACTTCTGTTTCCGCTGTATAACAGTCATACAGAATAGGGTAGCAGCACACTGATGTATGTAATTTTGCTAAATGAAAAAAAATCCCAGAAGCGAATGGGGCATCGCCTCTCCTAAGCAAGAAAATGCCAAGCACCTGAGGAAGAGAAAGGACGCGATGCCACCAGCCTTATTCAAGGAAATATACAGGATGTTCTCTATCGACAATTAAAAAAAAAATGTCTTCGAGGTAAAGACTGACTATTTACTAGTGAAGCGAGAAGTGACTAATCTGGCCTAGATGGGGTCCCGATTAGATCTTCGAAATAATGAGCATGTTATTTTATCTTGCTATGCTGGAAAATTCATAGGTAACCATAAATAAGAGGTGGGGATATTGTGATGCCTTTCGAAAGATCAGAAAACTCTGCTCACCTTTAGGATTACGAAGAGAATGATTCGAGATAATGTTACTCAGAAGCAAGGGAAAACCGTGTTTACCTAAGACAAATTTCGATCAGCTTTATTTTGTGAAATAATCTTCCGTGATTTACGTAAATTTTTTGCATAACTGATTAGTATGCCAACGGTAGGACTCTGTCCCATGGCAAAGCTTCCTCTCTCCACTAAGCGAATCATTTGACCAAGACTCGTGGTCAGCGGAAATTTTTCTTTCCTGATGAGGAGGTCCTCCCCCTCCCCAGTATTGGTACATTTTGGGGGTGAACGAGGAAGAGAATATTGAAGAGAATATTAAAGACAATCAGAGACTTACCTAATTCAGGAGGAGCAAGGAAAATCATAATGGAAGTCATGAAAGGCGGGCATCGTTATATCTGGGCGATTAGGAGCTGTCACCAGCTGAGCGGTGATTAGGAATAATCTTTTAACGATAATGAGATTAAGGTTTATCTTTTGGGTATGTCAATTATAATGACTGCGAATAAAGCCAAAATTTCTGAGGAAAATGGCAGGGATTTATAAAAATTATTAAATGATTCGGAAGAGCAGAGAGGATTATTTTGTTAAAGGGGCAATGAAAAGATTAATAGTATGTTTAGAAAAGATTACTAATTCTGAGGAGCAATGGAAGGATTGAAAAGTCTAAAGAATAATGAAGGGAAACGAACTCTCCGGAAGGGCAAGGTGTAAATTAGAGAAAATGTAAATAATACTGGAGACGGTGGAAGACGAAGTAGTTTGAGGTAATCAGCCTTGAAGAATCTGTTGAAGACGGAGGAAGACGTTAAGTAGTGGTTTGAGGTGACCAGTCCCTCAGCCTGGATGAAGGACTGATTATCTCAAACTACTGTACTACTTCATGTCTTCCACTATACCCAAAAGATAAGTATGAGGGGCTGATCACGTCAAAATGTTTCATGTCTTCTACTACTTCCAGTATTATTCTTTGTAATGAACTCATCAGGCCACTGGTAGGCGAAAAATCTCCACAATAAAGAGACGAAACTGCTGCACATGTAACTTTTTCATCCCCAGGGGAGGTACGGAAGCCATCCAAAAACATCAGTTATTATATTCTACCTGATAAAGTTCGCACATTCCTGAAGGAACTATCAATCCTCTGGCTCAAAGGTAATCACTGTCCCTGAGGGAATGATCTATCAATGTCCCTGAGAGAATGACCCACCCACTGGCCGCTGAGAGAATGATCCAGTCATTGGCCCCTGAGAGAATGATCCAGTCACTGGCCCCTGAGAGAATGATCCACCTATTGGCCCCTGAGAGAATGCTCCACCCACTGGCCTTCAGATGATCAGCTCGCTGTCCCTGGGGAAGTGAATCAATCAGTAACCTTATTATGATACACCCTCTGACTGAGGAATGATAACTAAATAATCTTAAATAAAATCTCGCACATCGGTTCTAAGAATGATCGATGCAATGACCAGGAATGATACACACACTATGGAATGATTCCCAATACCCAACACCGAGGGCAGATATTAAGAATGGAGAACGAGCCAATCAATCTTTGTAACCTAGCACTATAATTAGGGCATAATTTTGTTACTACAATAAACAAATAATTCTAGAACCAGCTTTGACAATCGTGGAAAAGGTATTAAAATGTTACGATTGTAACCCCTAGAGTTTTACTAATATCCCAACAATAATCTTTCGGTGAATTATTAATCAAGCTCTATATCAACTGCTTAACTATCTGAGTACCAGTAATTTCCAGGCATTTACCATGATAGGAATTATGAACTAAATGAACGTGAGGCCAGGCCATCGCCATGCAATTGGGATGTAAACGTATATGATACCGACAAACTTCTGGACACCAAATGCTAATTTTATGAAAATAACTGATTCAAAGCCCCGAGAAGTATTCAGTATCGTAAATAGTTTTATTAGCCTACTTACTAAATACAAGTATATGGCGGATGTTACTCAGGTTAAGTCACTACTGTCCCACCGGTTATTACACTACCTCTTCCACCTGCTCTTTAAAACGGCTTAAACGTTCATATATCTACGCGCTGATTAACATTAACTACTCTTTCTTGTCATGAAAAATCTTGTAATACATTATTTTCCAAACACGAAACTTTCGAAATAGTACTGTTGACTACAATAATTTCAGAAAAAAACATACGAAGATATCGCAACAAACCCTGTTACTGATGATAAAATGGGTCAAAATGATTACTTTGCGTCTCATGAATGCAGTGTAACTAGTAGCAGGATAAGGTCAAGAATGGGAAGAGGATAAAGGCAACACTGTTGGGCTGTGTATTCATTAAAGAGAATTGTTATGTAGTGTTAATTAACGTGGCGGTTGTGATAGTGACGTGGAGGTTGTGGTGTTCATGTTTCGGTTATGGTTATGCCGTGGCGGTGAACGTGGGGACAGTATTAGTGGTCCTTGTTATAGTGACTGTACCGGTAATTGCGATAGTGGTCACTGCAATTGTGGAGGTAGTGGTGGTTGTGACGGTATGATGATGGTGATGGAGCTTCGTAAAATGAGGGTTGTGGTGAAGATGACCGTTGTAGTAATGGTGGTGGTGGTCGCGGTGGAAATCACCACCATCCTATGGTTCTTGTTAACCAGGTAAGCTAAAATGTCTTATCAATGTCTAGCCCACGAAAGTTGATTGTTTAGCTGGGGAGAAGAGACTACTAATGTTGCAGCGGCACATAGAGGGAGCATGTGAGCTATCAACAGCTGTGAAGGAGTGGCAATATTCAGAGGGGGGAGGGGATGCATGTGATGTACTGTGGAGAAAAAGAGCAATGTGATCATTTGTCGAGAAAGGGGGGCATGTGAAAGGGTAGGGGGAGGGTGTGAGCGAGGGGGGTGCGCAGGTCTCCAGCCAGACAGACCCACCTGGTGAGAGGAGAGAGGGGAATGTAGCGGAAGCGGCCTGCTGGATGGTGGATGGGTCCTCCATAGCGACGTGTCAGAGGGGACAGGTACGCGGCCAGGGGCGGCACCGCTTTGTTGTTATTTGAGGGGTTATTAGCAAATTTGACAGTGATGGGCTCAGCTGCGCCTTCTGGGATAGTACCATTCAATTTTTGGATAGCTCGCTCCGCCTCAATACGCTGGTCAAACCGGATAAAGCCCACGCCCTTTGACAATCCTGGAGGACAAGAGAGAACGTCTTCCAAAAATAATACACTAGCACAAACGAATAATATAAAAAGATTTATCTTCAATACGCCAGGTGTAAGAAAGTGTGTTCACAATTCACTGAAAAACAGGGAAAGTTTGTGCAGGTGCTCACCTGTGATATTGTCGCAGAGAATGCGTGAGGTGATGATAGAGCCATACGCGCGGAACATACCCTCCAGGTCCTGCTGCGTCATTGACTTAGGCAGGCCAGACACGTACAAGTTGGCTCCCTTGATGGCTTCACTGCTCGGCCTCGCGTACGACACCTGTCACAGTACACCCATCATGTCTTGTGAATGCTAGATTAAACTGTTGTCACATACCAAGTCTTCGTAACCTGTCACACGCTAATAAGCACTATCACAACACTTGTCATATTACAACCATCATCACTGAACTCTTTAAGTACTCAACACTAAGTATTCATAACCTCTCATGCTATACATGCAGTTCTAACACACTAAGAGTTTTCATCGCATCAAATATGCTGAGATTAAACATGCTACGCAAATTCAACATTTTTTCTAGAGCTTTACATCTCCGGACTGAACACTTATCACTGAATAAACTTGAACCGACGATCCTCACACAATGACAAGCATTCTAGCCTCAATACTATAAATATATTTTGTTTCGTTAGATTTCAAAATGAGCTAAATCCACTGTGGCTAATTAATACGAATGGCACAAATATTTAGCTCATGGCAATGATAACGCTATGTCAGTGGTTCTTAACCTTTTTCGTCCTATGATCCCCCGAGATTCTTCAGGGTATTACCGTGGCCCCTATAATAAATTTTGAAATGGTGAACCTCACCGAGATATGACTTTTGACTATCATTCGAAAGGGAAATTGCCCTCAACTTGTTTGCCTGCTGTTCTCCAAGAACAACCTTCGTTGCTTCCAGAATGCAAGGCTTAATCAGGTCTTCGCCAATGGTATGAGGCCTCTTGGTCTGCACGATTTTTAGAGCAATTCTGTATGAAGTCTCCAACGCTGCTCCATTCTGACAAGCGAAGTGACCAGTGGAATCGATACGACTGGCCTTCAGAGAAACTTCTTTTCGCTTGAAAAAATCCAAGCTTTTTGTCCACCAGATGGCTGTGGCAAGACTCAAAATGGACATTCAGTTTGCTTGGCTTCATACTCTCGTGACTCAAAACTTTGGTGCAAACAACACACTGCGACTTGACCACAGTTCTGAATGATGCTTGTAAAACCCATCTTAACAAAGGCTTCATTGTACGTACGCTTCTCGGCAGACATAGCGCAAACAGGAAACCGCCTTGGGAGTCACGGAGCAAGAGTGACGGAGCAAGAGTGACATACAGCCATCCCCTACAGTAGCTTTGAACTGAGTGACTGGTTGTGGTTAATGTGTTTACTGTAGCAGACCAACACACGTGTGATTAGTGTTGCCACTTTCCAAACTGGTAAAAGCCCAAATGGCTAATTCAAATATATGAAAAGAAATTATACTCTCCCGAACCATTTGTGGTCCCCCCGAGAAACCCCGAACGACCCCCAGGTTAAGAACCGCTGCGCTATATAAAAGAAAACTGATACTACGCGGTGCAATTTAAAATGACTTCTTAACCTATAATCTGACTGACTGCTATGATATTATGGAAACTGGTTAATACTGAAAAATTATGAAATTACTAAGACATTTCTGCAAGCGATTTTAATATTCACAGAATACGACTAACTGAATGCAATTTAACTGTTTGCTTTACTGTAATTAAAGACCGAGAATGGAAGACATGTTGCTTGTAATTGATCAGTGGTGTAACCCTGGAATACTAGAGGTAAAAAAATACTAAGTCTACATGTGCGCAAAAAAGGAAACTGATTAATCTAGCCCAAAGCTGAAAACAGAATGTAAATAATATGCAAAGAAATCTAGCAAATAAATACTCCAAAGTTAATAAGAGGAAGGTATCCTACAGGTGTGATAACTACAGGCTTGGTGCTATCTTTTAGGATTGATATCTATGAGGTAAGAGTTACTCAGCCCATGATGATGAAAAAGACTCAACAATGATAAAAACAAAATATGTAAAAAGGACATGTGTTCTGACCTTGATAGTTTTGTTTTGGAGGCGTAGACCGTTGAGCTGGTTAATGGCTCGCTCAGCGTCATCCTGTCGAACATAGTTGACAAACCCGTAGCCGAGGCTCTGACCTGCAAAACAAACACGCAACACATTCAATAAAAGTAAGAAAATGCTAAATTTGTATTATATACACAATAAATCTTTGTTAAAGCACTCGTACGACTACCTTATTATTAGTAATATTATAACTAGTAATAATAAATGTAGTACTAGTACTCGAATATTAGTGAGTGAGTTAGGGGCTCCATTGAATTTCGCGAAAATTTATAATGAGAAGTGTATAAATACTAGTTTTTTTTTTTTATACAGGGAAGAATTTTATTTTGGGAAGAAAAAAAAATTCTGGCTATTTTTTTCTCGAGGAAAAAAAAAAAAACTTATTTAACTGTCTCAACCAATCTAGCCTAGCCCTAATCCAACGCACCCCAATGTACACTCAGAAAATACTGCTCGGGTGTTGGTATTATTGGCACTGTTTACATCACTCGGTCGGCAAGTCACGCATGCTGATTGAACCGGCGTATAATTTACCTGATACATTCTACCTCTCATATAAACAATTTTGTTGCCAGTATCTCCCCCCACCTCCACCCCAAAAAAATATACATAAGATATAACCATTTTTGACAGGTTATGGATAGATTGTTTGCGTTACAGAAATGAAAAAGGATTAATTCGATGGAGCGCCTAAGCCCAATATTAGCCCTCAGAATATATATAGATTGTGTGTAAATCAAAGAATTTACTTTAATCCCTATTTTATTAGATCGGGCATACAAGAAAACATTGTTATTACAGGTACTGTCTCATGACAACATAGTTAAGGTTCCCAATTTTTGCACTACAGCTTACATGGGGCTGAGGGATTACCTAAGTAGTGTACACTGGGTTAACCTGACTAGGGATTATCGTGAACGAAGCCTGATAAGATGGTGGTGATAATTGCTAACATGACATTTTCTAAAGCATTATGGACCGGGCCGCGGGGGCGTTGATCTCCGGAATGCCCGCCAGGTAGACAAGCTGGCCTAGCTTCTTTAATCCAAGATACCATTGCATAAATTTCACAATAAAGATAACAGAATTCCTACAAAATGGATATATATGCACTGGATAATACAGAGACGACGATCGCTGAAGGCACTATCAAAAGTATGAGCTTGCACTCTCAAAAGGGGAGATATGCTTAAAGCGTAAGAAGGAAAATAGAAATAAATGATATATAGTGTTTAAAAATATATAATCAAGACAAACCATACCACGGGCGGGATTTGAACCCGCAGTCAGTCTCAAAACTCTAGACCGTCGCGTTAGCCACTTGACCAGCTAGCTTCAATAAGATTCGTCCAACTAGGTATATTTCTACACCATGCAAGTTTTTACAGACGAATCTCCCGCTAGCGTGGCCGTGGCGAACTCTAGCTCAAGTCCCCTCAAAGCCGTCAACATGACTCACGAAATCGTAATGACACGATTGCAAACAAACCATACCACGTCTGTAAAAAACTTTCATTTGTGGACACAGTGGTGCCTATGCTAACCTTCCTATGGTGTAGAAATACACATAGTTGGACGAATCATATTGAAGCTAGCTGGCCCAGTGGCTAACGCGACGGTCTGGAGTTTTGAGACTCTCTGACCGCGGGTTCAAATCCCGCCCGTGGTATGGTTTGTTTGCAATCGTGTCATTACGATTTCCTGAGTCATAATCAAGACAGAACTTGCAGCAATGAAGTACTTTAAATTTCGAAAAGATGTAGGGAAGTACTGGTTCGGCAATGGAGTTGTAGATGAATGGCACAAACTCCCAAGTAGGGTCACTCGGGCAAAATTTTTAAGTAGTTTAAGTATAGGTTGGATGGGTACACGAATGGGTGCGAGTTAGATGTGCTCAGCGTGGAATAACAAGACCTACTGCAACGTTCCTTCATTCTTGTGTATTCGTCCTTACGAGTTCTTATAAAAATTAGTAACAGTAGTATAAAAAAAATAGTCATGAGGTTCACTAGACATGTACGCCAAAATAGGCATTCAAAGCGAGGCCCGGTGCGCCTTTTAACATTGAATACGATAGTCATGGAAAAAAAATGCAGTATAATGCGATCCTTTACTGACAATGAGTGGAAAAAAAGGCAATTTTTTTTCATTACAATGAAAATTATTTTTCTTTTTGGACTAAAACAACCTAGAAACCTCACCTAACGTCCCTAAAACTAAAACTTTTTTTTAGCTAAATTCTACTAGATTATATATATACAGTGATACCTCGCATATTCGGCTTGTCATTATCCGAACCTCTCCAATATCTGAACAGGCCCTGGGAAAGGGCGAAATTCTAAAATTATTACCAAAACACCCGAACAGCCGTTCGGATACGGCAGTAGGCTGAATCAAACTTAGCGCGCACTTCAGTGTACGGGTTGGTTACTAGGAGCAGCACTCTTCGCCACCCTCTGTGATATCAAGAAGGCTTGTGACAAGATTATGGTCTACACAAGTGAGTTTTCTGCCGCCTCAAAAACTGGAAAAAGTGCCGAAAGAAAAGTGATGGCGAAGCCACAGAGCTTGGAACTCGATAAGTGCATGATGAAGTTGTACCTAAAACAACGTGGTAGTGGTATGATGGTTAGTGGCGCCGACATGCAGGACTGGCTAGTGTGACGAAGACGACCCTGGTGTGCAATCTCTCACAGATGCAGAGATTGTAGAATCAGTGTTGCACCCGGAACATTCCGAAAGTGACGACGACGACCCAATGCCTCAAAGACCAAAAACTTCAGCAACAAGGGCAGGTGTCGAAACACTTGGAGTATTTGGAGCATCCACTGCCCACAGCCCATTTGAAAATTTATGGTCCTGTGGTCCGTGAAATCCGGGAGGCTGTTATTCGAGCCCAGTGTCTGGTCCCACCGCCAGACGACTTTGGACTTTTTTTTAAACCTACAACGCCGTCGCCGATGGCGATATAACGGTACGGATCCTTGCTATTTTGACTTAAATAGCAACGCTCTTCTTGCTGAGCATGGCAAGCGAAAATTTGTGTATGCAATAATTTCGCAAAAATCATTCTGAACCTAACGAAAAATATATATTCATTAAGTTTATTATTAAACTATTGTAAACTTACCTAAAATATATTTAGTTTGATTAAGCTAAATTAAATTGCGCTTGTTATAATAAAATGAGGCAAGTTTTCTAAAGTTCTTTTGGTACAAAATTATTAATATTTACATTAACAAATTAAAAAAAATATCTTTAAATGTACAAGAGAAAACTTTTGAAAGGACTTAATTTTAAATGAGTTCTTCAACAATATCATACAGAGAAGCCTCGCCACAGCCCGTTGCCCAGCCCATCGGGAACCCCAAGTGCAGAGGTCTGACGGAAGTCAAAAGCGTCCTGGTGGAGCCACTATGCTACCCAGGAAGGATGAAAAGCAGATTGCCTGGGACTACACCTGTGCCGCCACATTGACAGACACCTACTTCTCATATTCCGTAGCTGAAGGAGGTGGAGCTGCCAGCCACAGGGAGACCCAGAAGATCTTCCCCCTTGCTATAACTTCATCCCAATAGGGTTGGAGACCCTTGGAGCAAGTGTGCTCTCAAGTTCCTCAAAGAGCTGGGTGAAAAACTCATCATAGAAACCAAGGACCACAGGGCGGCCAGCTTCCTCTTTCAGAGACTCAGTGTTGCGATCCATAGGATAAATGCCTGCAGCATTCTGGGCACGTGGCCCACCGCCGGTGAGCTGGACGAAGTATTCGAGATGCAGCTCTGAGTTATCTATGTTGTTTTACTCTCTATTGTATTTTTGTCAATGTATTTTGTCTAAATAATATATAATAATTATATATATATATATATATATATATATTATATATATATATATATATATATATATATATATATATATATATATATGAAAATAGAGAGAGAGAGAGAGAGAGAGAGAGAGAGAGAGAGAGAGAGAGAGAGGAGAGAGAGAGACAGAAAGCGCAGTGACATGAAGGGTCAGGTGAGAATGATGAATCTGACGACTGAGAAAAGTTTGGATATGATATGGACACGCCTAGCATGAGCAAGTAGGCCTGCTGCAGTGTTCCTCCATGCTAAGATCAGGTGCTATATTGTAGAAGCTGTTGTTCTGGCTGAAACTGCTTGATATGCAAATGAGAGATGATTACAATTATTATTATAATCAAGGGGAAGCGCTAAACCCGTAGAATTATACAGCGCCTGGGGGGGGAATGTGGAAGGCATTCAGGCTTAATTCTGGGAACTGGAGCACAGATCCAATTCCCTAAATCAAGAGCCCCTCACCAACATCAAGGAACCTTCCCTGAGGGGAGATGATTACAAGATTCTGCATCTGTCTTCTGAGATGAGCCGTGCGTTTCTGTAGTTAATTTAATGGTTGTGGGAATTTCGGTGTAAAACGCTGGCATTCTCTATATATATCGTGTCGATATTTTATACCATTCATCTCTACGATAGTCCTGTAAAGGCCATCGTCGTACGCGCTTCAGATCTGGCTACTAGTTGTATCTTAATACCAACTATTTCACGCGATTTTCCAGTAGTTTTTCCTTGTTTAAAAAATATAAAATTGGCAATAAAGCATACGAAGTTGGGTTTACACGCTTCAACTCGAGGACATGCCGTTTGAGTTGGACATGTCTCCTAACAATTTTGGCTATTTAATTCTATATCTTAAAGTTGTCGTTTTGATTATAATAATTCAGAAACAGACAGGATTCGAACCGATCACAAGGCAGTCCTACAATTAGCAGGCCAGCGCTCTAACCATTAATGTTTTAGTGCACAACCACCTCCACTCTTGCTCTTCTAGATTTTTGAGCTCTGCCACACTCAGGATCATTACTAAAAATATTAATACTCTCAGTGTGGCCTTTGAATTACGGTTCTTGCATAATTGGCAAAATATAATATTAAGTAACTTTACAGAGGTAATTTTGCAGGTGATCAATGTAAGTATGTGGAAACTACGGTTTTCATTGAAACTGTTATATATCTCATTACCAATACGTTCCAATATAAATTAGCGT